CGGAAGCAGCGGTTCATCGCCGGTTTGGGTAAAAAAAATCCTTGAGCGGCGGAACTTTTACCGAATCCCCTCTTTCCTCCTCTTTTTCTCTTTTCTTCGAATCACAGCGAAGCTAATTCCAATAATAAAGATACATTCATTTACTTCTTCAGTGTTTAAGAGGACATCAATTATCTTCAATTTATATCCTTCATATTCAATCCTAGAAAAATACACAAATTGGTTCATCCTAAGTCTCACAAACAATATGGGATGGTTCTGGGCTGATTCTCCTGCAACTGCTGCTGCGACGTCGGGTATGAGAAATATTCCTCACGCTTTGCCCAAGGATAGCAATGCCACTCCGCCTGTGAGTAGATAAATCTCTGTTCACTCAGTCATTTTGTGATTCTGATTTCCGCTCTCTAGCCATCATGTCCTATGCACAAACCCAGCGCAGATGCTCTGAAGCCTGTGGCAAAACCTCCAGCATCATCACCCGAGTCCGCCTGCCCATATACGCCCGACAACGCCTCTCAAGAATCTAAAGCGACGTCGAAATACTCCAAATACAACCCTTTAAACTACATGTTCCCGGACTTATCCCAAGAGAGAGCAAAGGATCAGACTATTGTATTGCCAACCGAAAGGGAGCCATCTACAATACCTAAAGGCACTGGTGATGGTAACTGGGAGTATCCTTCTCCTCAACAAATGTACAATGCTCTTCTGCGCAAAGGTTATACTGATACGGATGCGACTGCCGTTGAGAGTATGGTATCAGTTCACAATTTCTTGAACGAGGGTGCTTGGGCTGAAATTGTAGAATGGGAACGAAGATTTGGTAAAGGGTTGTTGAAGGGTTGGGAGAATTGTAGGAGAGGAGAAGAGGGCTCAAAGGCAGGAGCAGAGATCGGTGCAAACGAAGACGAAGTGCCCCAGCCCAAATTAGTTCGATTCATGGGCAGACCGAAGGAAATGACACCAAAGGCTGCGATGATTCAAGCCATGGGTTGGGCTTTTCCGGAAAAATATGGGTATGTAGTTTTGCGATTTGTTTCAATGCCTCAACTTGGCTAACCATGATTATAGTACTGAGCCACCATTCGATCGACATGATTGGTTTGTTCAACGAGAATATAATGGACAGAAGAAGGAAGTTAGGTACATCATCGATTATTATTCGGGAGGCGAAGAACCTACTGGAGAACCTATTTTCTATCTGGATGTTCGACCCGCCCTCACTCCGACGCAAGCTGTAGAGCGGATGATGCGATGGAGTGGTGACGTTTGGTATCGCGCATCAGGTGCTTCCGTTAGAGAGAACATTAAAAAGAATTAGGAATTTGTCTATTTCTTGAGATATGATATGGAGTTTTGCAGCGGTTTTTAAGCAATACGCGTCGGTTTGGGTAAGGATTTGGTATCTATGGTTATGATCTGATTGGATCAGTGACTTGGGGTTATGCATGTGGAATGGTCCCTGGGTAGGAATTATAGTTTACGCCTCTCTTCTCTTGTAGTTATTGATACCTAAATAATGACATTTCTTATTCACGACGTCAGAGTTATTAAACTTTCGGGTATAGCTTATGGGCAGCTTATCGCAGTGCGAGACTTCTAGAAGGTGGAGCCAGCCGAATCATGATAAGAGCTCCTTCAAATCCCCCACTATTCATACATGATTATTCCCTCTTCCCAATCGTTCGAAAGACTAAAACAGCCAATATGGCGGAACCTTTTGTATCAATCAGGAAACATATAAAATGGGGGGCAAGTATTTATAATAGTCCTACAATCCTATCTCCGATAGGCTAACAACTATTGCAGGACAGAGCAGCAAAAGAAAATACAAAGTGCATATCTTGAGCTGTTATCGACAGCCCTGACTTGCTAACACACACTTAGCACTCTTGTCCTAACGTCTGCCGATAAACACTATGTAGATATACGAATCCTTGACCCATCCCATCCACTCCCAAACAGTAACACCGACCCTCAAGCAATATTGAGGCTGGAGTGGGGTTTCGCGGGAACTGCAATCAGCACTCCCGCAGCATTCAAAGATGGTGATAAAAGCATCTTGATCAAGCCGGCACACACGCAGTGGGTTCATGAAATAGATAACAAGATACGAAATCCTGGGCCGGATGATCGTGATGAGGGTTACATGTATCCTGTGGAGGGCACAAACGAAGTTTTGGAAAAAGGTGCTATGGTGAATCCGGACACCGGGAAAGTGGAAGACTATGAAGAATTGTGGGAGGATCTCGAGGTTAAAATGATGGAAGGAGAGAAAAGTGATTATTTTATGAGTTGGGTGTTGAAGACGAAAGATACTGGTGAGGTAAACGGAATGGTGATTAGAATTGGCGAGTGGGTACAGGGGGTCATGAGAAAGGGGGATGACTTCTCAGTTGTTAGGTGGAAATGGACCACTAAAGAGGGATGGAAAAGAATGTTAGCGATTGGTCAAGATTTTGGACTAGATAACAAGATCTTTGAGAAAAAGATATCTGTGGGTGACAGCATCAAGGTCGATAGCGGCGTGGAGTGGGAAATCAAAAGCTGTCACAAGCACAGGAAGTAATCAAGGGAGCTGGAGAGCCAAGTAGTCAATTTCGAATCTTTTTGATTAATATTATGATTCCCATGGAAGAATGGTATTTCATTTTGTCATCTGGTTATCGCCAATAAGCTACTACCTGGAATCTGCTCCGTGTTTGCATATTTACATTCCTGATGAGGAATGTTAATATCTCCTCTCAGAATCTATAAGTATAGGTTTTAGCTTCAAACCAAACAATCGATTTTTACGGCAATACATGTCTCTCGTTTTCCATTACATTCACTTCTGTCTGTCTTTTATTTATCTTCAGTTTGTAAGTAACTATGCCCTGGTTATCACGCAACAGCAGTTCCGCGAATTCCATTGGAGACATGATGGCGGTCCCATCAGCACCTGTTGCCCCGGCGAAGATATCGCCATCGTCTTCAATGGGTGTCACTGTCATTCCTTCGATCATCGATCTTACATGCGGGACATCGCCCGCTCAATATCGTCATTCAACAATGGAAGTCCTCTGGCGTTCCATGCAAATACTTTCTCGCAATTTGTACTGTATTCCTCAGACGATGGGATCTTTCACTTTTAATGTGGCCCAAACAATCCCTAAGAGCTCAGGGAGGAATATTTATGAAATGGGCATTCATTGTATGTTATGTGTCATGGAGTGTTGGATAATGCTTCTAGTCATACCAGCATTCTTGACGATGCCTGGAGCGATGTTCATGATGTGTTGTGCGGCTATCTGGGGGGCTATGATGGGGATGTCATGGCTATTAAGAGGGAACGAGAGAATTTGTGAGAGTATAATGCCTGTTGGAGACTTTGAGGACGAGAAATGGATTTTTATCAATGGTAGTTGTACGAGGTAGGCAGATCACCCTCTAGAAAGAAGTATTTGTGTACATCGCTCATATTAGAATAGCTACACTCAAATGATGCATCACCTCACTCGACTGAGTATCATTTTCCACCGCCGCATGACCGGAATCCACAATCGCACCTTGGGGCTCCCTCTTGACCTTCTCCTCCACTTCCTTTCGATTACCATGCCCATCCACCGCACTCTGTACTCGCAACTTCGCGAAACACTTTTGACACCCAGCATCCAAAAAGTCGTCATTCTATCACATTCAACCGGCTCCAAGATCGTCTCTGATATCCTCGATCAACTACATGCCGATCTTCCTGCTAGTTTAATGGCGAAATTGGAAATCTATACCTTTGGAGCTGCGGGTGGCTCTTTCTCGAATCCGCTCGTCAATTCGCTATGTATGGAACTTGGCGCTCTTGGAGACAACGAAAATACCAATATGAAAGCTTCTTACGAACGTGTAATACCAGTGAGTATCTTCATATCATTTTATTCAAATGCCTATCTGATCGTGGGAATAGCACATTGAACATTACCTTCCTCTTACATCCTCGCCGCTATCTACTATTTCGATTTTACATCCGGTCTTACATACTCTAGACTCTCGATTCTGCGGCAGAATGTTCATCTTGAATGGGTTTCACCCAGTATTTTTCGAGCAATACTTGGATATGATGTTCACTTGGCGGAAATCCGTCAATTCGGTTGATGGGTCTGAAACTCGAGGATTCTGGGACGAGATGGTCCGAATTGATGGAGAGACAGCTGAAAAGAGAGAATTTACCGCGGGAGCAAGAGGCGCTGCTGGAATGGGAAAGGGTGAGAGGAGATGGAGTGGGATGATGCAGATGGAGAAGGAGGGAAAGAGACGACCGGGGGGTTGGAGCTGGTCGAAGATGGGGATGGATGGAGTAGGAATGGCGAGGAGGGAGGCGAAGGCTTTGGAGGGAAAGAGAATGAGAGAGGTGGGGAGGTTGGGTGGTTATGAAGGCGGTGAAAGACTAAGTGTAGGGTGGTTTGAGGGAAAAGGAATGATGGGGTTAGAGAAGAGGATGGCGAATGGCGGCCAGTGAAATTGATGGTGAGTGATAGTCTACGGGCTTTGGACGGCATTGAGAGCGATCTTGAGGGCTGGGATAAAGTGGCAGTTGATGATTCTGGGGATTCTCGCAAGCTTAGGATAAATATCAATGGAGGCAGCTCGGTTTTGGAGAACAACGAAGAAGAACCCGACGTCGATTTGGATATGTTAGTAGCGGTTTGGTTTTGACAAGGTCTGTTTCTACTTATAACTTTTAATACTACGGAAATATGTATTTGAACTTTTGTTTTCTAATGGTACTATATTGAACCTAGCGTGCTCGCACTTTCAACCTGAAATTATCAGGCCTCATGCAGTGCCAATTCCGGATTCCGGATCAAGATGTACCTGACATAAAAAATGATACAATGTGAGGATGTGGAATTTCAATGCCACTACCCAACATACATTGAAGAACAAAAAATTACAAAAGTCACCAAGATAATACTTTAAAGCAAAAGTGACGACACACAAGAAACAAGGAGCATCTTAGGGCTTGATCAAGCAACCATGCCAGCAGCCTGCTTGGATTTGGACGGGTATCTCGGTCCCTTTACGTTGATGTTAACTATCGTTTCCTTGTCGTCGTCAGATGATGATGCTGGATGCTTTCTACTAGACCCATAACGCACATTAACATCATGATGCCCTACATTTAGATGAAAGCTGTCTTTTAATCTGGACAGGGAGCTTGGACCGGAAGGTCTGGGGGTCAATGATGCATTCGATGAACGCCTGCCCGAGTTCAACGAACTCATATCGGAACGCCGTGAAGCAGATTCTGGGTCAACACCAGGATCTGACTTTGCGGAATATAAAAGTACCATCTTCGGTGTTTCCGAATGAGACCTTTCGCTAGGTACTGCTTTGACTTTATTATTTCCGTCTGTAGATTTAATAATTTGGACGCTATTGTGGTGATTGCGCTCGAGGTCCGGGTTTGAACGGCTACTTCTATGAGTTAGCGGACCGGCTTGGCTATTATGCCTTTCGGAATGTGCATTAAGGTTCTCTTGAGTCAGTGGCATTGAAGAATGATATTGTTCGACTGGAACTTGAGGGGTGTTCTGCTCTGTAGATTTGTGTGATTTGGGCGCTGCAGACGGAGTCTTTTCTTGTTTCACAGGAGGGACTTCGTTGCATTCCATATCGAAACTACGATTACTCCGTGAACTCCTGAATAAATCTGCACTCTTAGTCCTCTTCCTCTTATTGAAATTAGAAGGTTGTTTATGTGTAGCCCGCCGTGGAGGCTGCTGCTTCGGTTTAAAGCAGTGTGCATCGATAAGTTCATGAGTAACATGATCGATGTAGGTTGTGTGATCTTTTTTCATCTTCTCAGATACACGGAGGTCTTCAAAGGTCTTTCTAAAATAAATAATCTGGTGTCCCTTAACGGTCCCCACTTCTTTGGAAACTACAAGTTCGTCCTTGTCGAGCATATCCAGTACACTGTCTTCTTCGGTAGATAGTGCCATTTTCTGACGATCACAAAGTACACCTGATAATAACAGTATACCGCGATCGCTGATAAGAATGTGTTGTCCACGGCATTTTACGCTTTGAGTAGCCTCAATCGCCGTGCTACCTCCAGACTTTTTAGATTCAGACACACGACTTTTTAGATTTGGAATTTCGATATACCATGCGACTAACACGAAGCCAGGAACAAGAGGGTATATTTTAGTGTAAACTCTGAACTTCTCTTCGGAACTGAAAGTGTCTAGAGGAAGTGACGACATGGTCTAAGAGTGTGCTATCTGGACTGCAAGTTAGCTACCTTTGTTTTGAATATATTCTACAACATACAATATGGGAATATTAGATATCTTTGTCAAATGATTATCTGTCGCTACGAAGAAAGATTTAGGTAACGGATTTTCCTGAAGACTACATGACTATAACATCTGTATTTAATGGGCCATGTCTTTTGGTGCCCTTGTTACTGTTGGCGTACGCGACCCAAGTCCCAAGAGAATCAAATCATGGACAACGTGTTCAGCGACTTAATCACCTTGAAGCACATGACGGGCCGGCTGACCAGGTCTTTTACTTTCTACTTTCTCTTTGTGTTTTGTGGATATCGAATTTGTTGGCGTGTTCATGTTCATTTGCCAGAGGCTCTAAGATCGGAAAGCCAGGAACTCTGACGAGTATTCGGTTGACCCAAATCCGTTGGAAAGTCTCGGATAAGGTGTTCCTTCAGGAATACAGTTCCATTTTATTAGTTTGAGGATTGAGTAAGACATTATTTGGCTGATGTACTAGTGTGAGCGTGCTGATGGCCCCCCAAGGAGTGGACTCATGAGCATTGCTCAAAGTAATGGTTTTCCTTCCAGCCTTTGCACGAGTTAACCCTCAATCTTCAGTCTAAAAAATTCAGAATAGCGAACTAATATTCAATTCATTTTCAGGATCTACATTTAAATGTCTTTCCTGAGCTTTACGAGTGGTTTTGTTGCTTACAAATGTGCACGTCGCTCGAATATCGCGGCTTTTGCATCGATAAACTTTCACGAAGGACAATCCAAATCCAAGTATCACTCAATTTTATCAGTTCTTTCCTTTTTAACAATCATTGTACTGAGTGAAATATTCGAACTGTCGTTCTACTAAAAGTTCATGTCTTCCAGTGAAAACGCACCACAGAACCTTTATACGCCTATGCACGACGTGTGGTCAAAAACGAAAAGCTTTACGTATGTAGCAGGTGTACTTCCGCCCTTGTAAACTAAAATATATAAAAGGTGAGGAACTGCAGCAGATTGCATTGTTATCGAGGAGCCAGTAATTTGGCCTGCGTAGGATTGCATCGCGATGACATTTGCGTATTGAGATAAGCGCCGACCACTAGGCCTACGATACCTACAGGGCTGAATAACGAAGACCATCAAACTGTACGCAGCTAGGTCAGCCAAGTATCGCGGGGGCTGTTGTTGTTATTATTATTTAAAGACTTGTAGAAATCTTTTTATAGTACTGAGGGGAAGGACTATCCCAGTGAGTTAAGCCCATTAATCACTCGTGGAGCAGCGATCAGAGAACAACCATATTGGCAAACTAGATTTCAGATTATTCTTAGATTAATTAAATACAACATCTATTTGAACATGGGATTCGGGAGTAGGAAACATCGCTCGTAAGCTTACTAGTTTCTACATACAATCACACGGAAGTTCCGCTAATCATTAGTCATTTCATCAAGGGAATCTAGTGACAGGAGAAAAGATAAAGACGGAGAATATAGTGTATACGCCAGCGAGTGTATGCTTCTACCTGGCTACATAGAGCAATCAATCACGATCGACAAGAGTACCAATGAAAAGGGTATTAAATTTTGGAAGCGCTCGATCAGATTCGAAGTAGACCCAGCGTTAGCCCAGATAGACAGTGAACATGAGCATATTTACGGTGGCTACTCACAATCACATCGACTGGGCATAATAGTACCAAAAAAGGCGAGGCGTTTCAGGAGCACAGTTCGCGAGATACACGACAAAATGAAGGGAAAAATAAAAAAAGGACATCGCTTCGGCACGCTTGAGTATATAAGTGATATCCTCGAAAAAGCACTCAGGGAGGGAAGCTTGCAAGTTAATAGACGCAAAATGAAACTTCTCGAGAAGGAGGCTGGCCGCAAAACCTGGCAGGCTCCATTCATAAGACCTAAAGCCGGAACTGAGAGAAAGATAACAAAGCGTGAAGAGAGAGACAAAAGACGAGAATATAGAAGAGATGATACTTTAGGTCGGATTAACAATTCTAGGGTTGCGAGAGGATTTGGAGTACAACTCAGCAATAACGAGAAGAGGAGTCGAAAGCGGCACGATCGGATGGGACGCCCCTCACAAAGTGATGCTGAGTCCACGGGGTCGTGGGAAACTGTTTCAAACACTAACTCTTATTATTCCGAGCCTTCTCATGGAAGGCGGCGCCGCAGTTCATCTCGTCACTACGACGGCACTAGTGGATATAACGAAGACGACTCTTCAGATGACGAATCTGATACCAGATCGTATGCATCTTCGGGATTTTCAAAACCAAGCCGCTCCTCAAGCTATGGTTCCAGAAGCTCTGTCGCTTCCGGATCTAGTCGGTCAGACTCAGAATACAGGCCAAGACATAGAAATGATCGTTATAGCAATTACCAGACCGATGATCAGCTTCGGAAGCCTCCAAGTTATCCACCCGATTTTAAACATGGTTATGGAACTATACCGCGAGAGGATCTGCCTTATCCGAACGAACCGTACCCGGGAAGAGCTCGGTCAGATCATCCATATGATGATAGAGCGAATGATCCACATGTTTACAGAGAGGATAATCAATATGCTTATAGAGCGGATGATCGGTATAGAAGCTTGTGAGGAACGGCAAACAACGAGAGAGAGAGAGTAGGTAGTGGTGAAGGAAGTAGTTGGATAACTGTAAATTGGTTGTTCAGCATGTCCCACAATTTTGGTACCGATAGGTCTGAGTTTGTTATTGTTTCATTTCCTTTCTTACTGTTGTTCATTATATGTATTATCTTTTCTTCACGTTAATATACTTCATTACTTGGGGACATCTTATTTACCCATGTTTTTCCAAATCTGTTATATCTACTTGTGCAAAATGTGCTTGCAGTGTCATTGAGGGGCATTTCCCGTATCGAAAATCTACGCCCACAATCAGATACCAACTTTTGACTTCAAACGAACAAGCATTATTACATTGGTAAATATCAGGAGAAGATTGCTAGCTCAATAATGCTGAACAGATCCCACCGGTCGACGGATCTCTCTGACAGATACAAAGCCGCGGCCGGTAAGAGGGCTGGGCGGGCACCACACAGCCTTATAACCTTCACATGCGCGCTTGCAGTGTTTCGAGAGTGTGTATAGAATCTGTGTACTAAGCCCCCGGTCCACGTATTGTAATTCATAATCCACGCGGCCGAGCACTACATAACACTTGGAAGGACCTTTCTGTTGTGTTCTTCATTTCTAAATTGCCAACTTAATTTAGCTGTCAAGATAAGACATTTCAAGAACGTCAAATGAGTGTGCCATGTTTCTCACACATAGATCATGAGCAATCTGTCTAGAAGACAATGTTGATATACTCTAGCTCCCACAAGACAGCTTAATTCACATAGGATACACTTGAGCCTAGACGTAGATATTACATTTACTGTAGTGTAGTGTACCGGGGCGCAGTGTGCCGATGTGTACTGTAGGAGCGTCATGAGCGAGTGTGCTTGTAGTTCGTCCTTCAGATAAGATGAAAAATGGCTCAACCACGACCTGGTAGTGATATATTTTCAAATAGACCACATGAAAAGAAACAACGACGATGCGCGAGGCCAGTTAACCTACACTCAAATTTACGCCGCAATCAATCAGGTCCGTGGAAAAGGTAAATATATAATAAAATGAATGGGAAAGGCTTCAGAAGTTGTCAAGTGAGATCATGCTTCATTGAAGCGTTCATTCTCTTCCTATATGTTTGATACTTTGTATCGTTCATCACCAGCCTTGATAATTATTAAAATTTCAATGAAAGAATTTTTTAAAAGTTGAAAGGTATGGGCCAACAATGATTAGCGTGGCGCTAAGCCTGTTTAGCTCTAAGTCATTCTTCACCCAGCGAAACGGTCCTCTCCCTCAGGAAATACGATGCGTACCTAGGTATATATATATATGTCAATAAAGATACCTAGGTACGAGGCAGTATCTCTATATACATGGATATATTATATATATTGAAATGAGATACTTCTCACTCAAGTTCCACCGCCATTCCTCATCAAACCCACCAGCTTATGTAAATTCTTATTTATAAGTAGTTTTAGCCGTCTAATGGTCCAACATCCATCCTTTCACGCTTTCGTGTTTATGTCGGAGTGATTTTGAATCGCCATAATGGAATGATGGAATGTGAAACAAAGTGAAGCTTTCGGAATCCATTCCTTGATTCACACTATTAAAAATATATGAATATATGTACCGGTATATTCGCTTCGAACCACATCGTGAATACTGTACATGTACTGTATTGCTCGAATTGGCTAAACGTATTGCTGACTGTTCCAACAATTCTTGCTTACCTAATGCGTGAAGCTCAAATTTCAGCCTCACCCATTCGTTCCTTTCTCTACCATTTACTACAATCTACATCAATTGTTTTCTCTGTATTAATAATTTACACCTGAAGACTTTATTAGACTCGAGACAATTAGTAGCCAAAACTCTTATTGTACAACTCTTCTTTTAACTACACTTTCCATCAAAAACTTCATTACAAATAACGCGACGATTATTATGGCTGACTTTCATTATGGAGGGACGGATGAGGAGTCTGCTGAGATCAAGAAGCTGAATGCCGAAGTCGTAGGTTTATCAATGTGTTTCTATCGATTGCGCGTTTGCTGACCGGTGCTCTATCTATAGCTCGAAAACACGGACAATTTTGAGAGTTGGGAGAAGCTTGTTCGCGCAGCTGAGACTCTGGAAGGAGGTCTAAATCGTAATTCGAGTCCACAGGCGATTGCGACAACTCGAGATTCTTACGATCGCTTTCTTGCGAAATTTCCCCTCCTGTTTGGATATTGGAAGAAATATGCAGATCTGGAATTCTCCATAGCTGGTACAGAAGCTGCTGAGATGGTAATTAAAGATAAACTGTAGGGCAACGAGCTATGTGCTGACATATTTTAGGTCTTTGAGAGAGGTATCGCCAGTATAGCAACATCTGTGGATCTATGGACGGATTATTGTTCCTTCAAGGTTGAGACAAGTCATGATCCTGATGTGATCAGAGAGTAAGTATACTAGATGCTTTCCTTCCCTTAACACAGCATCTGCAGCATGGTCATACAGCCACATGAGCTACGTTCGGAGTTTTCATGGCTCACAAACGGTGAGAAATGCCAAAAAAAAAAGCTGCTCATGTTTGACTCTTCTCACCAACATGACCAGGATATCTTTCTGCTATCACAAGTTCGCTTTTGTCCCGTATCACTCTGCACACATTGTCGGCACGAGGAGGATATGAATATCATTGCATTTGTGCACACTGCCCTTCCCGTATTTGCACTCCTTGCCACCTTTCCATTCCCTCCCTTTTCAAAGTATGAGGCGCATCTAACATTTTATATTAGGCTTTTCGAACGTGGAGCTGTTGCAGTGGGTTTGGACTTCCTTGCCCATCCTTTCTGGGATAAATACCTAGAATTTGAAGATCGACTGGAAGCTCAAGACAAGATATTTGCTATTTTGAACCGAGTTGTGAAGATTCCTATGCATCAATATGCTAGATACTTTGAGCGATTTCGCCAATTAGCTCACGCTCGTCCATTGCTAGAGCTTCTTCCAGCCGAAACACTCGAACAATTTCGTGCTGATGTTATTTCCGAGAGTACCGGTTTCCAGGCCGGTCCAAAGGGAGAATTAGAGATTGAACGTGACATTAGAACCAAGATAGATAATTTCCATCTTGAAATTTTCGCTCGTACGCAAGCAGAAACCACAAAACGTTGGACGTACGAGTCTGAAATCAAGCGTCCTTATTTCCATGTCACCGAGCTCGATAATCAGCAACTTTCGAATTGGCGCAAATACTTGGACTTCGAAGAGGCTGAGGGTGACTATACCCGTGCTATTTTCTTATATGAAAGATGTCTAGTGACCTGCGCATTCTACGACGAGTTCTGGTTTCGCTACGCCCGGTGGATGTCATCAAAGGAGCGCAAGGAAGAAGAAGTCAGAAACATATATCAAAGAGCAAGCACACTCTATGTGCCAATCAGCAAACCCGGAATTAGATTGCAATACGCCTATTTCGAAGAGATATCCGGCCGTGTCGATGTTGCGAGGGATATTCACCAAGCCATTCTGGATCGCATGCCTGGTCATGTAGAGACCATAATTTCTTGGGCCAATCTTGAACGCCGCCATAAAGGCCTTGATGCCGCAATTGAAGTCTACAAAGCACAAATCGCTTCGACAGAATTAGATATTTATTCCAAGGCAGCTTTTGTTGTTGAGTGGGCCATTTTATTGTGGAAGATTCAAGGATCTGTCGATGAAGCCCGTCAAGTTTTCCAGAAGAACACACAATGGTACCCAGAGAGCCGCCATTTCTGGACAAAGTACATGGAATTTGAGTTAGCGCAGCCAACTAACTCAGCCTCGGAGTCTGAGCACCATGAAAGGCTCAAGCAAATCCATAGCGATATGACCAAGACATCCATGAGGTTGGATACAAAGAAGGAGATCAGTAATCTATACTTGATGTACCTAAGAGAAAGAGGTTCCAAGGAGACCATGAAGGAATTTTTACAGATTGATCGCGAGCTGAACGGGTAAGCATCCTTCTCTAGTACTACATAGTACCATACTGACAGACCATAGACCTATATCAGTTCAGCCCGACTATGTTAAAGCCACTGAGTTGGGAAAAGCGGCAGCAAACGGAACTATTCCAGGTGTTGACTCGGCTTCTTTACTGAAAGGCGAAGTCAGATACACTACATACTTTCAACAGCGCAAGCAACCACTAACTGTTGATCCGCAAGGCCTCGCATCTTTCCATTAGATCGTTGCATTGCCGCTCATGAGAACCACCAGTGTCGTCGTCGGGTCTTAATAAGTTCGACCAGGCAGCGTGTACAATAGTATCCTTATCAGCCTTGCGATTGGTTCGGAGTGAACTCATCGACCTTTTCTTTTCTTCTTTCTCCTCGAATGCTGGATAAATATAACTTAGGCAGCTTAATGATTAGAGGAATGGCGGTTTTGGGAATATGTAAAGATATGCCTATATGGTTTCCTTTTCTTCACATAGTTCATAGATACAAAAGCAATTCTTCACCCATATTTTACGACAGGGAGTATACATCAATGTGATTATAGTTGTGATTATCATTGATCAAATTGTCGTCTACCTCTGAGCGACACACTCTATTCTCTACTATCTTCTAATATGCAATTCCATCTCAGTAAACATATCTGAAGTTGGGATTCTCTCTATCCGTCAAATCATCAAAAGCGTGCACCATGTCTCTATCATTAGCCTCTCTAACTCCTGCCTCTGCCAACTCATCTCGCTTTTTATTTTCCCTCATCAAGTGCCATCTGAGAAAGATTAATACCAGAAGAAGTAATGTGTAACAGCCAAGATGGGTAGCAAATGCGATGAAATAGCGTGGCGCATCATTCTTCAAGAAAACTTGAGGACCAACTGCATTTCCTGCAGCCCAACTGATAAAATTTGCAGCTACGACGATGGTTTTCTTAGTTTGACCGGCGACGTTACGGGACATGAGAGTCAAGGAAAGGGTGGCAGTGGACCAAAAAGAGAGCGTTAAGTAGTAGGAGATTAAAAGGCCGACTTTAGTACTGAAGCTGGTGTTGCGAACTGTCATGAGGACGATAGTGCCGATGAATGAACTAAATGCCGGGATTAGAATTGTGGCGGTGGTATCTAATGGGTTCACTTACGGTAAAAGGTAGAACGTCATGATTGAAATGTTTTGGTTATACTTCTTGACCAGGAAGTGACTGGACAGTAACACGATGATGATGTAAAAGCCCAGTACCATAGCCAAGAGCTGCGTTTGCAGAACAGTGAAGTTAAACCCTGTGATGATGATATTTGCAAATGCGCCCAGTCCGCTCGTTGGTAATGTGGTGCAGATAGCTATTAAACAATAACAGTACATTTGCGGATCGGTAAAAGCGTCTTTGACGTGCTCGATACGGAATTTGCGGTTTTGCATGCCCGTTTGATTGGAGCGGACACGTTCAACCATGAGTTTTTTGTCGGCTTCGCTGAAACATTTGGCGCGCATTGGGGAGTCGGGCATCCAGAATAAGATGAAGAGACCCCAGAGAAAAGAGAGACAGGCGTAGGCGACGAAGATTGCTTGCCAAGATTTGAGAGGGCCGGATTTGAGAAGGGTGAAGCAGTAGGCAAGGAGTCCGCCTACAATTTGTTGAGCACCCTACATTCATCATCGTTAGACATATCTAACAATGTTGGGTTTGGAGGTGAGCATACATTCATCATGTACCAGTATATCACAACTCCTGCTTGTTCTTCTCTTTTGTACCACATGCTAGACAAAACCACAAAGATGGGCTGGCAGGCAGCTTCGAAGATTCCGAGAAGGGTACGAGCCGCAACCAGACCTTCAAAATTATGGCAAAGGGCATGCATTGAGAGTATTATACTCCAAACACAAACGTTGATACCCAGATATTTGGCGATTGGTACGCGTTGTATAATCCAGTTGGTAGGGTATTCTACTACTAGAATACCTATGTATATACATGTTGTGAGCCATGGATACTGCTCCCATGTTAGCAGTTATACAAATCTGAGAGGGAAAATAGATGAATAAATACCTGTGAGTCGGATACATTAGCATCTTTTCTGATGCCCATAATCGATGTGAATGCCAATGTTCCTTTATCAAGCGCTTGTATAAAGTATGTCAGGATCATGATAATCAATACACGTCTATCGATGAGTTTCTTGAGTCGTTTGTTCTCATCATCGCTTATATGGATAAGCACCTCGCTGGTGTATTTAGCAACTTCAGAATCAACACGCCCATAATCCATATGATCTGGCTTGTCAGGTCCTGCATAGAGCATATCTTCGACGTGAGATATGTCGTGATCTGATTTTGGATTTGGATGAGCCATTGCTTGTGCCTTTGGCTTTTGAGACGAATCTTCGATGGAGCCAGCCATGTTCATCTTGGGTGCCGAATTGCGGGCTCAGTGGTAAAAGGGATAAGTGAAGTGAGAGAGAATAGAACTCGCGATATCCCACTTTCTGCAGAGAGAGGTCATGAAGCTGGTATAAATACTGTATATCCCACGCCATCTCGCCCGCTTTGGCCGCATACATGCATGCATCTTCATCCCTCGAACAGGCCGGAGCGAATTTATCCATCCCATGGGGAAGCAGAAAGTTGTTTATGGGGAAGTGGGGTACCTGGTCTTCAACTTGGCATCAAATCCTCGGGGTATCTCGAGGGTATCTCGCTTTCAGGTAACCGAGACGTGGGGTACATAAGCTGCTTTGACAATCGGTTATACACGAGCACCAAACAGAATACCAAATACAGGAAGATCTCCATTCGCCAAAGAAACGGATAAGCAGATAGATGTGGAGGTGAGCGAAGGATGCCAAGAATGTATTGACAAGGGTAGCAGCTCAACTTGTTAATACACACGAGCACTTCTACAAGACCGAATCTGCTGCGCGGTGAGCAAAAAAAATGATCACCTTCCCAGAAGAATCGCGCAGTATCCTTGCTGTCTCTTGAGCCTTGTCACGGGTCAATGTATTTCAATCTTGATATCCACAGAAGTGAAAAGTTTTGTCTCGTATTGCATCTGGGTATCATATCTTTGTGAAATTCTAAATCTGCCAACAAAATCCAAATCTTTTTCTTTCTGATAATTTGCATAAAATCAGATCAAGCAACAATCAAGCTAGTCGCTATTAGCTGATATCTAGTAAACTTTTCAAGAATCATAGTCCCAATATAACGATTGAAAGAATGCAGCTCGGTAAAGTCGTTGCTTTCATTACATTACCAGCCCTTTTTCATAGCCAGCTGGAATTTGTATGCCTAGAACGATTAGCAAGAGATTTGAGTCCAAAAACTGGCTAATACGTACCCAAGTAGTGAAATCATCTTTCTGTCCCTCCCAGTCTTTGGTCAACAACTCAACTGTAGCAAAACCAGTGAACCAAGTCTCATCCATGAGCTTGTCAATTGCACAACTATCTAAGTCATAGAATGCACTTGCTAGATCATCCGTGAGGTTTGTGATCTTCTTCATTCTTACAAGTACTTCATCTAAACACTCCACAATACCTGGGTCCTCTGAAGATTTCTCCTTCAGTTGTGTAGGCAACTCAGGATGTGGCAGGTAGGGAAGTGTCTTGAACCTCCTCTTCTCGACCGCTTGATACATCAGAATTATGAGTCTCAATCTTTTGGTCGACGACTCGAGCTTTTCGCGAATCTTTTCCGGGTCGTCTTTAGGAATATGTGGTTGCGATCCAAAGAGATCATCCACAATATCTTGAGGGTCCTTTCCTTCGTCATCTTCATTACCACTGTTCTCATCCTCATCCTCGTCATCTGATTCTTCCTCCGCCCATGCTTGCAATTCTTCGAGCGCATCTTTCACCAAATCTCGATATTCTACAGCTTTCTTCATAGCCAATCCCGCTACACCCAAAGTCTTCAAACCCATGACAGAATCGCAGGCATCCCATACAACACCTGTCGAAGCCAAACTACCCTTCCCACTTGATTTTCCCGTTCCATTCTTCTTGTCGTCACTCAAAATGTTGCCATCTAATGGAATTGCATTGATCAGAGTCAATAACTCCGTCAAAACCTTATCTACTCTCCATTGCAGCTCCTCACTCATAGCCTTAGTGTATTTCGCAGCATGGCAAATTTCGACGGCAGATGCCAGGCCTGGCAAAGGTCCCGACACAAGTTCTCCCAAGACTTTACTGATTGCGGAAGGCGTAAAAGGGTTATTGATAATCAAAAGGGACAACTTCGTCGAGTGTGCTTTGATTAAGCTCGCAGAATCATGGGCAAGGTCGATGGCATTGACATCGGCGTGCTTAGGTTGCTCTTTCTTTTCAGACGATGACCCCTCCTTCACATCTTCTGGAGCTTTTGCTGAAGCTTGTAGTTGTAGAATTAAATTCTTGATGTTTTCGACGGTAGATTTCAAAAGAGCCAAGTCATTGCCGGCTTTCTTTTCGGTGTCGGCCATGATGTCGTTGTTGTGGTGCAAATTCAATAGTTATGACGCTGAGAAATCTGAAGCCTGAAAACTATTTTCTTAGTGGGGGTTTCCGCGCGAATGTCATAGGTAGTGCGACGCGATATTCACCCCTGTAGTGCGTCGATAAGCTTCAAGCAACCACCAAAATTCCCTTTACCATCCCGACAATAATGCGCTGACACCTTTTCGGTCCAAACTTGGACGAAATAAATAAAAAATGTCTACAGAGGAAAAAGCAGCAGCGGCTGCTCAAGCACCATCCAGAACTCTGGTCATTGACAATGGAGCTTACACTATCAAAGCTGGATTCTCATCTCCAGAATCCACGGATGCACCGCGAATTATACCCAATTGCATGGCCCGCGACCGCGAAAAGAAGGTCTACATTGGATCACAACTCGACAATTGTAAGGATTTTGGAGATATCGTCTTTCGTAGGCCTGTCGAAAAAGGATACCTGGTGAATTGGGAGGCAGAGAAGGAAATATGGGAGCACGAATTCTTTGACAAAAAAGCGCCATTACAATGCGATCCAAGAGAGACGGGTCTCATTCTGACAGAGGCACCTAATGCGCTGCCAGTCCTGCAAACAAATTGTGATCAAATGGTTTTCGAGGAGTTTGGCTTCGCTAGCTACTATCGGTGCCCTGGTATGTGGTGATGTATATTAAGTTATGTTTTAATTGTGTATATTAATGAATATCTAGGTCCAATTCTCAATTCGTACAACGACATTCAAGGGATCTTTAAAGGGCCAGCTCGAGATCCATCACAGCCTCTTCTTCCCGCCGAAATAATACTTCTCATCGATGCCGGATATTCTCACACAACCATTACACCCGTGCTGCGAGGGCGCCCTCTACAATCGGCGATCAGAAGATTGGAAGTTGGAGGCAAGCTCATGACAAACTATCTGACACGCTTAATATCTCTACGCCAGTATGATATGCGCAACGACACTTATTTGGTAAATGAAATTAAGGAAGCATGCTGTTATGTATCAAGGGACTTCAATGGAGATATGGAGAAAACGTGGAAAGGAACCAGAGGAGACCGAAGAGAAATATTTGAGACGGGTGGTGGAATAGCGAAAGATTATGTTCTCCCGGATTATCATAATCGGTCTCAAGGTTTCGTGCGAGATCATGATCCACTACAAGCAGGAAAATTAAAACAGCTGACCAAGGGGAAGCTGGCAGAAGCTGCGGAAGATATTTTGACTTTGAGAAACGAAAGATTCACGGTCCCAGAATTACTGTTCAATCCATCAGACATCGGTATGCGACAATCGGGCATTGCTCAACTAGTCATGGAAAGTCTTTCTGCTTTACCAATGGGTCTATGGCCAGCGCTTCTCGCAAATATCATTGTCGTGGGGGGCAGCTCTAAGATAGAAGGATTCATTTTGAGGCTGCAGCTTGAAATCAAGGCTCTTGCTCCAGCGGAGTGTTACGTTCGTTGTGCGAGACCAGAACATCCTATTATCAGCACTTGGAATGGTGGAGCAGAATTAGCGAGACATCCTGATGTCTTGCAGAAGCTATCAGTAACGAAGCAAGAGTATGACGAACACGGAAGTGCTTGGGTCGCCAAAAAGTTTGGAGGCAAATAAGGAGCGTGTTTACGGTACAATACCCGTCTCCAGACGTACGAACTCAAGCCTTTTTTGTTCAACCAACCTTGATGGGCAGTCCCACCTCCTTTCGGAAAATACTGTGGTAACTGTGTATACATTAATTGCACCAAGGCGAACAGAACGATAGTTAAAGTATTCTACACAGTTGTTGCTATACCTAGTAAACCTCAAATCGCTAGACGGTTTCCTCAAAACGATAATCAAAACGCCAGATTGTATTGTGTATCCAAACCACAAACGCCACTTCAACACAACAGCGAAAAGACATCTACTGCGAGTCAATACTATGCCGAGTCAGATTTCTAAGGGATTGATTACTCACAATTAAACGACATTGGAACTCGCATTACAATTTTCCTCTGCAAGCTGCAAGGCAGGCCGCGGATCCAATTATACTACCGGTGCCTACTTCTGGTATAGGTGGAAGATTGAACCCTGCCGCTGGACTGCCAAAAGCCGCAGCTATTATATCCGGTGGCAATTGTGCAAGTCCATTAAGAATGTTCTGTGTGCCTGCATCCTCCGAATTCAGCGCCGATACAAGAGTAGCCTTAGTGCAACCTTGATTCTATTCAGCATTGGCTGTCTCAATTCATAGGGACAAACATTACCTAAATTTTGCATACTGTGAATGCTCCCTCTCGGAAAGATTGTCATCTGCCATGGCCTCAATGTTTGATTAACAACCTTCGCCCCGTTTTCCTCAATCATCCATGTCTGCGTCACACCCTCGACTGCCACTACAAAGTTCGTGCCTCGTGGGTGGTAATGAGGAGGTAACATTCCACATGGTCCCAAGTTAATCAAAGCCATCGTCATACCGTAACTAGTCGAAGCAGGGAATGTAGCAGCATCAGCGTTGACGACGGCACCTGGCGTATAGGTATAGTGGGGCTGCGTAGTGAAATCAAAAAACCAAGTCAGGTTATTGTTTAACAAGAAGTTCATTTTGTCGAGCTGGGTAGAGGCAACTTTGATCTCGCCATCGAGGATAGAATTTATCGTTACATCGATGCACTGAATAGAGGTCGCGAGTATGCCTAGCGAGGCAATTGCGAGTTTTGGAAACATGATATTGATTGGAAATTCGAGGAACTGAATTCAGGTGACTAAATTGTTTCCGAGTGTTCGTCGGCAGACTGCAGGATCAAGAGCGGATGCGGCGCGATAGAAGATGCTGCAGTGAAACTAATCAGGAACATTCCAAGATCTTTATACATAACCCGGCCATCCAGTCATTGCTCCATGACTGAAACAAGAGACACAGATTAGAACGCCGCTCCTTGAGCCATTTGTTTATCATCATAACTTCATTTCCGCTGGCTTCTTTTTGTGACGTGTGATGATGGGAATGGAAGATCAGTGGTCTATAAATGTGCCACTGAACGTGGTAGCATGGTACGATTATAATTAACGATGGGACGAGCGTTACGTTCCTGAGACAGATCCTCATCTTCTCTAGGATCTCTTATGACTTAAGCTTGTGGCGGATGCGTAGAATTTATAGATGAACGAATAGATACCCATGAGCCTGCTCACAATTCTGTCATGACGCCTTGTACACTTCACTCGAGTGCAACGTTCTTTCTTCGTCTAATACATTTTGCCTGAGGGTTGGAACTTCTCAATGTTTCTTCGAAGCTCGGTATAGATCCCCTTTAGTTCATGTTCTTTTCTTTCAGATATATCAGTATTAGGTACTATGAATACATGCACGCAAGTTCTCTACAGCATGGATCACGATTTATAGCTCTAATTGGGTATGTTGTGCTTCATGCCTTCAATTCCCATAGTTCGGCACTTCTGAACACAGTTGTACACAATTCTATCTCAACTAGGTACTCTACCCTCTCACCGTCACCGATTCCTCCCCCGGAGCAAAATTTCCCATGTACATCTATCTACATATCTGTTTACAGATTGGCTCATATCCATTAATTTACTACCTACTCCTATCTAACCCATGCAATCATCGTTTGTAGACGATGTACAAAAATGCTCGTACTGAAATACAATATACAATAGAATCGAAATACCTACCTACCTACCTACCTACCTACCTACATATATACATACATACACACATACATACCATCTCTCTCAAAGTCCAAATTACCTACCCACCTACCCACCAATCCCAATTCTCTCAAAGTTTAGGTAGTCCCAGTACCTTACAGTTCGATACAAATAGGCGAAGTCCGCACAGTTACAGTACAGCAGGATCAAGTAGAGTAGAGTCGAGCAGAGCAGATTCAAGTAGAAAAGAGCAGAGTAGAGCATCTCGATAATTCGAAATTCAAAATTCAAAATTCGAAACACAACCCACAAACTTTCCATTATATTATACTGCACAATTACAACATCAATAAATCACTTCACTATCTATCAATATCTTAACCCAAGAATGGGTTTGTGAATTGATCGATGAGTAGGTAGGTAGGTAGGTAGGTAGGCAGAGAATAACGAGATTCAGAAGATGGATAAATAAACACATAAATATAAGAAAGATATTAAAGTGTTATTGACAATATGGACATGGACAATACTCGAGTAGACATACATCGAAGTGTTATAGAATTTTAGAAATATATCTACCTACCTACCTACCTAGCTAACCAGTCACACAAGAGCAAGAAAGATGTTCCATCTCTCAAACAAATCCTAGGACAAATGAGCGAGTGAGTATTAGATGGAAACATCAAGCCCAACTACTAGGTACTTAGGTACGAAGTCATGATAATCCTCCAACTGAGCTTGTGAAACTAGATTATAAATATAATCAACCATCTGCAATCTATACATCTACAATCTATATACATGCCATGCCAAAATTACTCATATTAACACCACCGCCTACTCCTCCCTATTAAAAAATCTACAAATTGGCCTTTACCCACAATCCCAATTTCTCCAAGCCTGGATGACCATCATACAAGTCTCTTTCAACCGCTCTAGCATTAACACGTTTGGGACCCAACTCACTGATCTTCTCCACGCCTAGAAGTCTCATGCAAGTTTCCATTTCGGCTTTGAGGACTAGTAGAGGTATGAGTTAGCAAATTCCTCAATCGAAATCCAATAACTTCTCGAGGAATGAGGATGAAAAGCAGACACTGCTGAAACAAACAAATCAGAAAATACATACTCTCAAACGTTCTTTCAACACCCTCTGGACCACCAGCCCCAAGACCAAATAATGCAGCTCTGCCAACCCCCACAGCTTTAGCTCCAAGACATAAAGCTTTCACTACATCTGTACCCCTCTTAATGCCACCATCGACCCAAACTTCTATCCTGCTGAGAACCTCTGGGCAGTATTTTTGGATCTCAAGAAGTGTGTGAATAGCAGGTGGTGCTGTATCTAATGCTCTTCCTCCATGGTTTGAAAGAAGAATGCCTTTAACTTGTGGTGCATATTGCGATGCTAGATATGCATCTTCATGGGTTTGGATACCCTTCAAGACAATGGGCATTTTAGTATGTTTAGCCAACCACTGCAGGGTAGATTTCCAAGTCAAATCTGCGGCTGTTCCCATGAACAATTGTTTTCCTACCCCTCCTTTGCCAGCCGGCGGGCTGTTATCTTCCACATTCTCCTTGGCTTTTACTCCTGAAGAAACAGGTAGGCTAGCTCCGACATCCTTCTGTCTCTCATCATGTTCTCTCTTTCCCGGCACTGGCGCATCTAGAGTTAAAACGATAAACTTATACTTATCACTCATAGCATTAATCCTCTGCAGCATAGCTTCACTCTTCTTCCTATCATTTTGCACATATAACTGCCAACCAAAAATCTGCCCTGGTAGTGAGCCCTCTACAATTTGTTCAGGGGTCATGCTCGCATTATTCGACACAATTTGCACCGCACCAAAGTTCGAAATTCCCTTTGCAATGCCCTGTTCACCAGCCGGGTGGGCTAATCTTGCCATTGCTGCTGGCGATACAAAGATCGGCAATCCAACTTTCTGTCCCAGTATCGTGGTGGAAGAATCACATTTTGTGCAATCGACAAAGACTCGTGGTCGCAGGAGAATCTGTCGATATACTGCATTATTGAAGCTTTTCGACCAAAGATCATCTGCCGCTGAGTAATAATATGCCCAGCATTTATTTGACATCTTCTTCGTGGCCAATTGTTCAATCTCGTCGAGATTGAGAAGGGTCTTGACATCCGCATCTACCTCAATTGCATCTTCATCGTTATCTTTTGAGCCCGCCGCTTCAACAGGAGAACTCTTTGTTTTCTCTTCAATCGGTTGTTTTAGTTCCGAAGCGTCAATCTTGCCGAGGACTTTGGAGGCGTCGAGATTCTCTTCGAGGGTTCCGGGCGGATGAATCATTTCGAATTCTTCGGTAGCGTCAACGTTACCGGCGAGACTGAGAACGATTTTGGATCCACCAGGATGGTTGGGGAGAAACTCCGTTACATCGTAGACGGTTGAATTGATGCATACCCAGCAAGATTCTGGTGTATTGTGGGATGAGACTACATGTTGTATGTGTTAGTTTCATGGAATGCATTCTAGAAACGGGTGAAATGGGACGGAATAGAATAAAGCAGATATAATCGACTGAGGAAACATTGAACAGAAATTAAAGATGTTGGAGATGAGTCGAAGAAATGACTATACCTTCTGAACCCTTAAATGTCTTCGTCATTTTGACACAAACCTCGAGGTCTTTTGTACAACAGTCGAAGAATATAATAAATTGATGCAATCCTTCTATCCTCAAATACCTATCCCATATACCTATGGAAAAATAAACAAATTACACAATATAATAATAATCAATGGAATATAGGTCGGTAGACACAATCCAATCAATGGGACACCAGACACAAGTAATATCACTCAAAAATCAATAATAGAATCAAGCTTCACTTCAAGAAGGACCAGTATTCCCCGGCGATTTCGGCCCTCTTTAAACCGGAAGATGCAGTCCCCATAAATCTGGGGTTGAACGGAGAAAAGTGACGATATGTACTCCACTTTTCTTATTCATCGTTCTATGATGGAGAGCGAATCATGTAAAGCGTTTGGTAATTCCCTTCATGCACAAGTTAATAAGTCATCAATTTACTCGTAGGGAGACTCGAAGTTTGGTCTGTTTCTGGGTATACCTTCATGAATAGTGATATGATATTAATAAGAGCATCTACATAAGGGAGGAATTATAACATATCTGCCTACATGGCCTATATACTCAGATATGTATTGAAGAAATTAGAAAAGGTAAGAACTGAGGTGAAAAGGATAGAAACGTCCTCCTCCCTCCACTTATGGATGATCATGTGCTACAATTATTACTTATTATATTATATACACCCATATATCTTTTATATCTAGACGATGGATACGATCTTTCCGGCCTCCCAAGTAGCGGTGAATGAAGTTGGTTTATAGGTTAGAGAGAAGCATAAGAGAACATGGGATAAAAGTTATCAAACTGTCTTCACAAATTATTCGATTTTATAAAATAAAAAAAGCGTCGACATCTGTGGTTATAGTAAAAGGGTATCACAGTCTTCCTTCGCTTCGCTAACTACCTAGCAATCCTAATTTATCTATCATACAAGTAATGGTATCATTCTCCATCGTTGACCTCACGCAGCCTCTTCATCACCCCAAAATTCCAATCCGTCACATTCCAATCCATTGTACTTCTATAACCTTCAAATGTGGATTGTGAAATCTTGTGCAGACAAGTTTCGACCATACCGTTTAAACTCCTTCAATGCTCCATTCACACTGTATAATTTCAATAGCACAAAAATTCCATTCGCTAAAAGACATCGCGCGTTTCAAAATGGCGTGGTACAGAAAGAAAAAACGCCTAAAAACCATGCTGTGTTTGATTCAAGTTGAACGATAAAACACCGGAACTCATTTTCAAGAGCTTCAGTAACCCAAGAGCTTTGATTTGATGAGAGGATTTATGGTCTCCATTGCTTCTTGGGATTACCTTTGCTATCAGTTGTGGATGTGCTGCTGCCTCTGTTTGGTGCGGGACTATCCCTGCCAGCCATTTCCGAGTTTCTGCCCCGTGGGGTAGGAAGAAGGCTTATCCTTCTGCTGGTAGCTAACGAGCTAGCGGGTCTTCGAACTACCGGGCTGCTAGCTCTGGCTTCATATGAGTATGAGGGTTGCATCGAGGAGCGACGGTTATTGCCTGTCAAATTGGACATGGAAGACTTGCTAACCAGAACACGGGGACGGGAAGGTGAATTAACTGATAGTGTATGCTGGGAGTATGGTCCAGGGGTAGAGAGGTCACGTCGTACTGTTCGTGAAGCCGGTCTATTGCCCGAAGGAGTTGTAGGTTCTCGTATGACCGGAGAGGCTGTGTTTCCGCGGCCCAGTGGGCTTCGTAGTGGTATCTTGGAGTCAGAAGTATTGGATCTAGTAGACCGATTCGATTGGGTGGAGCTTGGTGTTGTGACACTAAGAGGTTTGAAACCATGGCCAATAAGTATATCACTGGTATTAGTGCTGGTATTCCATCGAGGTCGGTTGTCACTAGGTGTATTGGAAGGTCGGGGGAGTCGACCAGTTGGTGTTGCAGAGCTTTGACGGGGAGGAATAGGGGATGGGGAAGCTCGACTAAAAGATCGAGGAGGTTGTCCAGCACTTAAATTTCTTCTTGCTCCAGCCGCACTACTTCTGCCATTGGAACGTAGCTTTCCATTTCTTGCGGGTGTAGTTGGGTCAAGTTTACTACTTAAATTTGACATGATCACTGAGGATGCTGGCGAACTTCCTGGTGTGTCATTGTTCAAGCTTCCAATGGTTGATCGATCATTCGAAACCATACTCGAAATTGAATCTCTGAGCTGCTGGTTTCTGCGATCTGACTGGAGTTCTTCGAGTGTTGTGTCCAATTCGTTCATTTGATTTTTCAATGAATCCCACCTCTGTTGCATATCTGAGTGTAATCTCAAGATTTCACCATTGACTGTGAGGCGATCCTTCACTCCTTTCTCGATGATTGATAGAACTCTTTCAATGGCTGGACCGTAGTGCATCTTCTTCGCTTCGTAACTTTCGATCTTCTTGCCCATTGTAGCAGGGTTGTTTAGATGAACACCGGTATCGAGAGACTCCTTCAACTTGGCACAACTTCTTTCGACAGATTCATACATTTTCTGAGCTTGTCGACCCGCACCGCGGAAGACGAGAACCCAACGATCTTCGCCAAGTTCCCTTCGTAATGATTCAGCATCCTTCTCGAGAGAGTTCCAACTTTTCTCCAAACCACCTCGTCGACTTTCCAGCTCGTCGCAAGCCGTGGGAAATATTGCTTCGGCTCTAGCATGAAACGTTGATAACCTCATAGGTAAAAAGTCCAAAGAAGCTCTCAGGGGCTGCATTCTTGCAAACAATGCTAAGAGGCTTGAATCGTCTTGCGCCATTATCGGTGTAACTGGCGAGTTGGGGCTCAGGGGAAAGGCTGCTGAAGATGTCATACCAAATCGACTATTGGCCTGTAACCTCGACTTAGATGAGGGCGTTTCTTCTACAATTGTCTCCAGCTCTTTGATATCAACTCCGTCATTGTCGGCTTCTGCCAAGGACTTGTGCCGCTTCTCCTCCATTTCAAAAACGAGTCGCGCCAGAATGTCCACTTCATTGCCTATATCTCCCAAAACTGTATTCCATAATTCCTCCCATTCCATAGCAATCTCAACCGAGTTTTTCACACCCTTGAGGTTTCTTCTTATCTTTTCCCATTCCTGAAGGATGCTCTCTACCTGTAGTACAACCTTTTGAAGTTCGTCTGCAGGAACCGTAGCAATATCCGGACGTTCTTGTAAAGACTCGATGGCTGATACGTAAACATTAATTAATTTTTCGAAGCGTGTAATCGCATTATCCACTTCCTCCAAACCTTCTCTGCCGCCAGCTGCTGCCCATTCCACATCATCCTCTCCATCTAGGCCAGAGACAACATCTGATGCTTTCGATATCCAACTTTTAATTTGTTCTGCGGCTCCCATCAATGCCTTTGAGGCAGATTTTGAGCTGGGAATGGCGGATATTTTCGTTGACAACGAGGCTGCATCTGGTAGTTGCAAAGACGTCAATTGAGCAAGTTGACTTGCAAAAGACGCTCGCGATAACGTGTAAATTGAGCCGGCCCGTTGATGACCAAAGGGATTGAAGTAGGATGAAACGTCATTTGAAGATTCGCTGGGTGTTGTCGCAGTTGGCGGAGTATCTTTAGCTATGGGGGGTGGAGGTGTCTCGTCTTCGTGAATAGGAGGTGGAGGTGTTTCGTCTTTTTGAATAGGAGGTGGAGGTATTTCAATCTCTTCTACAGGAGGTATTGATCGTTCGATGTGCGCCTGCTTTATATCTGCCATTGTTTTCGTGCCATTTCTATTTGTATGTTCTGGTAACCGATACTTCTGCGAATCCATTCCTATAAGGTCAACATTTGTTGTCATGTCCTGATGACCAAAGTTATCAAACGAAGGCGTTGACTGCGTGGCACCGTCAAGTACTCGCGTGTCACTAATGTTAATCTCTCGGAGGTTGGTCTCTTTAAAGCTACCTCCAGTTACTTGAGGAGTCAAGAGACCAATGCTGCCACTCCAAGCTCGACCTCGTCGGTGAATATGTGAACTCGTAGAATTAGCGCGGTGGAGGTGATCAAGTTGGCGAATTTGATCTTCAGGAATGCGGCCAATTCGGTCAACTGGTGACGTTGTCGTTGCTGAATTTGGATCGGGATCTTTTCCAAAACCTAACGCTGCAAGTCGAGCAGCAAGACCGGGCGATGGTTTTCGCACAGTTCGTGGTTTTCGTTCGTGGTCTTTATCTGGCGTTGAAGGTGTAGAATCGTCGGATTGCACGCCGGGACTCGAAATATATTCCGACCGGGGTCGCAAAAATGTATCGGATCGCGAAAGCGCGTCTTTAAGCACTGTCATTTGAGTGGATTTGGCAATCTATCTTTGGGAATTTCATCGATTTTCAAAGGCGCAAAAGCGACTATGGAATATCTCTCATCTCATTACGTCGAACGAGATGGAGGGCATGTACAGGTGGCCGTTTAATAAAGATAGGTAGTTAAGAATAACAAACTTGGGTTTTGGTTTGAGTTTCTGGTACTGTCAAAGCAGAACCGTTAAGTTTAAAGGGGATCCACGGCCTAGCCTCGAAGCTTTTTATTAAATGCGAAATGAATGAGGTCTTATCAATTTTGGTTTGGTAACAAGGTCCCGGTGTGGTACGGTAACATATTTTATTGGAGAGAGAGAAGTCTAAAAGAGGAGAAAGGAAAAGGAGAAGAAGAGAAGGAGGTGAAGAAGAAGAAGAAGAAGAGGAAGAAGGAAGAGACAACTTCAATATGAAGGATAATCTCACGAACAATAATAACCTTCAATTGAATGCCACGGAGTGGAATTATTGAATCCAAGAGATTGTGAATTCGAGAGGAGTTACATTACAGTATTTAGGTGTTTGAGGTTTAGGACCTGATTGCTGGTAAGAATGTTTCGCGACATTCCTCTCATTTCAACTGGATACGTATTCAGGACCGGTACCTCCAATGAATAACAAGCATACTTAATTATGAGTACTGAATGAAGTCGATGAAGTCGTTGTACAAAGTGATTGAGGAGAACATCCAATTTGATTTAGATTGATTGATTGGATTAGAAACTTCTCGGTCATCCGTCTTCTTTTTCTTACCCACCTACCTAGGTACTTTCCATGCCTCCTTCTGAAATTCTCAATTATTCTTGACGTTCTGATTGATTGATTGATTGATTGATTGATTGATTGATTGATTGATTGATGTAGGACTGATGAGTGGATTCCGCACCTACCCAGAGACTTACACTGTACATTGCCCACAGGACTTAATGAATACCGACCTAGTAGCTCGATTGATATCTGTCTATTCATCTACTGTGGACGAATAGCCTCTTTCCTTTCCTGTAACTGGGATAGCCTTGCTCTCTTTTATATGAAACGTGAGAACCAGATAGAATGAGGCATCATATGATGACTAAATGAGAGTTAATAAGTTGATAACATTACAAAGTTGCTAGCTTTAACCTTTTGTATCAACGAGCGTTTGCGAATTACGTAGGGGGGGCAGGGAAGGTTCCAATCGACTCAATAGTATAATAATAAACCTTCTCACGTCCACAGAACATTCGCTGGCAAATCACATGATCGTGAAACACAATCTTCTTCAACTTTCTTCGACGCCCATCGGTCCTTGTCAACATTATTATTAGTGGCGAGGATGGCGAGGATGAATCGGATTCTTTTCGCTGCATTTGGGATAGATATCTCTGCATTGCATCAGTATGCATTTAAGGAATACCTAGTTGATCAGACATCAGACATCAGACATCAGACATCAGACATCAGACATCAGACATCGGACATCAGACAATCACTGTGCAGACTTGTGTACCGATATCCCAGCAGTCGGAACATCTTCGGTTTCTGACTGCTTTGCCTTGCAGCTTCTATTCTGGTATATGCAGACTCTAAAGGCTGTGGGATCACTTTCACTCGAAGTTCGAGATTCCAATGCTAAACAATAAGTATCTGCCGAACGAACATGCGAAACTGTACACCCATCATTTCTTTCTGTCATCAAATGTCAAATGTTCTGGACATCTCAAGAAATTATTGATTGGAGACGGGTATTGTATGATTCAAGACATATCATGACAATTGACAGGTAACAATTGCTGGTACTACAAATCTGTTGTATCTCGAGTTGGTTAGAAAAGATACCTAGGTGATTCGGTGGATAGGTAAAGACCTACACGAGGGTATCCCCCATGCTCCTACCCCAGCTTTCTGATCCCCCACGTCTTCCCACCTTCCTGTAGTTCAGCATGTTACTTACTCTATTGCTTTGCTATTACACCATACCATCCATAAATTCTTGGAGGTCGTGTGTCTATGTTCGATATTTCATCCATTGAGCCTCAAGCAATTCTAAATGCTATTTACAGCCAAGATTTCAGATAGTAATGATATTGATCACACAAGAATATCAAAACTTCCCTTGAATTTTCAATGTCAAGTCCTAGGTAATCAATCTCACCGCCGAAGTTAATACACAAAACACAAGGAAATGTTTCTATCCAATCGAATTTGGCTGACATGCAATCATTAGGTCTTCTGCAATTGAGCAGAACCATATTGGTAGGTGTATTTGTGAAGTTCACAGGTCCCTACCCTGGCTCCTCGACAGCGTAAATTCATACATGCGCTTGATTTGTTGTCAAGTCGCTTTGTACCCTATGCTTCATTTCAACACCTAACATAACTACTCAGACGACGAAATTAACCATACGAGCTTTTCTAATTCCCTTGGAAAAATACGTTTTCGTCATGGCTCCAGTGCCCGTTACGATTCCAATTTCCAAAATCAAGTATGGGTAAAATTACCTGGAAAAAGTAAGTAGAGGTTGAAATGTCACCCCAGTTATCCTTATTCACACGTACAATTATTTAGTTGGTTCTGACGACTTTATCGATGAGTCGTCCGAATTAGACGAAATATATACAGTGATAGCTAGACGTGAAAGCACATCTACATCGGATTTGACTGCCAATTGGGGTGAAACCACCCACCCAATTATCTCCACAGGATTAATCGAGCGGCGGCCATCTGCTACCTCCCGTACTGAAGCTTCTAGAAAGTCCGTTTCGAAAGATCATGAAAGATCTCCGGTAAAGAGGCGAAGGGTAGACGATGACAATTCGTCTGCTTCAAGCAAGCGTTCAGCTGTCAGATCCTACCCAAGAAGACCCGCAAAGACCGATGGATATCTCACTGGGCCAAATACTTCTGGTGAAATAGTGCATCAGCGGCCCGTTGATTATGACTTATCTACAATCTTCCCTCGAGAACTGAATGTCCAAAATGAAGTTGTGGATGACCTATCTCAGTCAGAAATACAGCAGGCTTGCCTTTTGAGGTATTTTGCAGATGAACTAGCTGGTTGGGTATGTACAGCCCTCAAATAAAGCCCACCCCCTTGCTCATATTTATTCCTATTTTCAGTTCGACCTCTGTGATCCGGAGCGCCATTTTGCATTAGTAGTTCCACAAAGGGCGAAACATTGTCCCGCACTTCTCAATGCTATATACACAGCATCCGCGAGATACCTTAGCCGGCTTGAACGGTATAGGATCAATGGCATGGTTGAATATAACGGAAATCCGCTCCCCAACTTAAATATGGAGACTGCTGCTGAATATCACAGCAAGTGTACAGAGCATCTTGTATCTGTATCAGATAATCTCGATGTCTTGTATGACGAAAATCTACTGGTTGCTTCTGTGATATTGAGATTTTATGAAGAGATCGATGGTTTGCTTTTCCTATTCAATGAAGTTAGATTACTTTGACTAACCATATATTGTGTTGTATAGCACCTTTGAGCGGGGGAGACGGGGCACCAAAGGGAACTCAAGTATTTCTCACAGCTCAAGCATCAGGAGGTCTTGACAGTAGCCTTCGTAGAGCTGCGTTTCGTGTCGCATACAGACAAGAAGTTCACATGGCGTTTCTTAGACAGAGACCTTTTCATATGCCTCTACAGTATCACGAATATCGATCCCTCGAGTATGCGGACGACTTCACATGGGCTTATCGAACAATTGTCCATTGTGCTGATGTATTACAATACTGCTACGGCCTCGGCAGTAAATCCAATGGCGACTATGACATGTTAGTCCAGTATCACGAAGGTTGGGAAAGTTTACGTCCACAATCCTTCGATGCTTTATACGATAGAGCTGCTGCTGTGAATTCCAGGCGGGCCCTACCTGAGATATGGTATTTATCTGATTGCCATGGTAAGTGGTTCCCGATAACTTGCAATAATCCGATGCTCATCAAATTTAATAGTCACTGCGCATCAACACATGGATATCTCTCGAATCCTACTCATAACTTACAATCCCCGGATACCTAGGTTGGGACCAGGTCTCAAAGCAGTTAAACAAGACATCGAAGTATGTTCTCTCATGTATAACTTTGAGTGCTAAACTGATTATGATCCCCTAGGCACAGATAAACACGATCGTTAAACGTCTTTGTGGCGTAGCAATATCGAACCACAAGTCTCCATCCGCGATGAACATAGCGTATATGGCTATCTCTATGTGTAGGTTGACGTTCTCGTCATCAAGTTTCGAATTCAACTAATCACATCCCTACACAGGCGGCGAACAGTTTACAGATATCGAGGACCGAGGGTGTGTTCTCGAGGTATTGAAATACACTGAGCAACAACATGCATTGCCAACAACACATATTCGTAATAGGTTGATAGAAGCTTGGGAATGCTCAGAAAACGTGCCAGTGAACCATGGCCAAGAGGCTATAGAAGGCTACATGGATATTATTGATGAATGATTGCTACAACCGTGCATGGTAGAATATAGATTTGCGCTAGGGTTCCAGAAACCCAATTTATCACAGGTTACTATGGGCGAAACCAGCGTTAACTCCAATAGAAGTTATACTAGCCTTATGTATAATACATCCTTTGAAGCAAGTGAACGACTCTCAATTGCAGTGAGGATAAACAGCTCACGACTTGAATATGCAGGTCGAATGCAAGGTCTTCTGGGTAAAACATTAGATAAGTACTTTCATCATCTATAGGAGGTATGACGAATACATTGATCACGCAATAGGCAAGAAACAAGACAGGTAGGGAGGTATCCATCAAGGTGTTGATAGTGAGTGACACAGACTTTAGAGGTATCCATCAAGGTGTTAATTACTAGATGCTTTTTGCTTGTAAAGAATTATAAAGCCAAACACATCGACTCTATAAAATCCTCTTCTTTCATAAAAATCCTAAGAAGCTTTTCCCTTCTCCTTCTTGGAACCTCGACTCAGAAATCTATTGTTCGTCATTCAATTCTAGCGCAAAGTTC